ATTATTTATTTCTTTTTTTTTTTTTTTTTTTTTTTTTTTTTTTTTTTTTTTTTTTGATTTTTTTTTTTTTTTTGGCATGATTTTTCAATGCATTTTTACAATTGCATATAATAGTAAGCAGAATAAATTAAAAAAAAAAAAAAAAAAAAGGCGAAAAAAAAAATAAATTTACAAAAAAAAATAAATATTCCCGACAGGAGGTATAACTACAAAATCCTTGACGAACTCGCATCGCCGATCTTTTGAAAAAGAAAAAAATTATGTATAAAACCAATGAAACAAAAAATCGAGAAAGGCAAAAACCCCAAGTTTTGTTTATGGCAACTTAAAGTATATATATATATATAAATTCATCCATAGTTTGTAATTTAAAGTTATTTAACTTGCTTTTTGGTTTTCTTGTGAGAGACAAAGCGGTTTTAAATAGGAATCATCTTCTTTCCTCTCCTCCTTAGTGCCCCAGCCAAAGAGGCTACTGAGACGTTTCCTGGAGGTGGAGACCGAAGCTCTTCGTTGAGCTGGTGGTCTTTTAGATGCATCGGTGACCGAAAGAGAATCCTTATTTTCGTCGTCTTCACTTTCCTTCTTATCATCAGATGGGTGCTCTGGCTCCTCTGATATTATCTTACTTTCTGCGACGCTGGCGGGTTGAGAGTTGCTTCGGAAATGTCCAGAGAATGGATTGTACCCGGACACCGTCCTACGGCGTCCCATTTTCTTGGAACTCGAATTATCGGAGAATGGGAATTCAGTCGCCGTGGGAGAGGTGGGACTTGAACAAGCGGTCCTCGCGGACCAATCGGTGGACAAAATTTCTTCAAACCCTTTTGCCTCCAAGATGCGATTTAGAATCTTTTGAATATAGAGGGTCATTGATTTATTAGCGTCCTTGAGTGACTTGATCTCATCCATCAACTCCGTGTAGTGAACTGCCGAGACTGTAAAAAAAGGAGGGAAGTCAAACGTTTTGTCAGTGGAAATTCGGCGAATACTCCCTCAATCAGGTAAATGTCCAAGAGGTTTACATACTTTCGATCACGGTGTGATCGCTTTCTTTGTATACACGTTCGCCCAAGAGAGTTTCCCTGAGGGTAGAAGCGCGATTTATTTCTGCGGCCAAATCATTACTAAGCGGTTTCTTCTTAACAATGGCCGAGATGTCGACGTCAAGAAGGGAACCGTCACCCTTGTTCGTACGGCTTGTTACCTTTATGGGCGGGTCCACAATTTTCCTTTCGGACTTTTCATTGTTTTTCTACGAAGAGCGACGAATGGGTAAGCTTTGACGTCATGCAGCGGTGCACGTGCGAAATACATTCGGCTGGTCAATTACTTACCATGATGGGGATCAACATAAATTCACCTTTCATGGTCTTTTCTCCCAACAAAAATCTATATCCCTCATTCTCTTCCATCAGCGATTGATTCATGTTTTTCACCTGGGATAGCTCAGTCTCTAGTGAATGAATTCTGCGAACATGACTCTTGTTTAGATTCATGGATTCGGTAGTTGCCTGCTTGGCATTTTCAATCTCAGCGGTCAATTCATTAAGGCGCCTTTCAAGCTCTTTTATTGTTCGCTGGGCATTTTTGGCCTCGCGAACGGCGTTATAATGAGAACCATTTGTAGCAGAAGCCGCCGACGTAGAATTATCATCTGTAATCACCATAAGATTTATACCACATGTGAGAAAATTTACGGGGGGAAGAAGACAACGAATCATCGAAATTGAACTGACCACTTTTCTTTTGAGCGGCTTGTTCGTTTTGTTGATCAAGGGCATTAACAGTCATTTGAAGTGCTTTGATGCGGTCATTTAATTCTGATTCCCGCTCCTGCCATAAAATCTTGTCATTCTCAAATGCTTGTATCTAGTTTGATAAGGGATTTAATGGTTTTAGCACGATCGGATGACGAGATCTAAAAAATAGATGGATACACTGTATAATTGGATGCGTCGTGTGTCGATAGCATACCTCTTCCCTTAATTTTCTTTCGGCCTCGCGCTTATTTTTCAGGAAACCGATATTTTCTTTCTTCAGCCTTTCTATCTCCTGCTCTTGATTATAAAACTCGGTCTCGATTCGAGTGTATTCATTTCGATCGCTGGTGATTTCTTGCTGAAGGGAAGAATTCTTTTTGCGAAGAAAATTGTTGTCATCAGCCAAAGATATGTTTTCTTTATGAGCGCGTTCAAGATGTTCTCGAAGCTGGTACAGTGTGGAAGGAAAGACACGAGGTGAGTGACCAGTAGAAAGTGAATATAATTGAAACAAATGAATTTCCTTTACAGTGAATCTTTGGATATCAAGAAATTTCCGCGTCACAATGTTAATCTCGAAAACTTGAATAAATCATTGATACACCGAGCTCTTATTTATTATCATTATTATTATTTTTTTTTTTTTTATGATGTATTTTTTATCATTGTTATTTATTGACAGACGCAGCCTTCCAAAGAATACTTTGGGAATATTGTAAAACGCATATATTAAATAACGTTGAGCTCGAGAAGCTGTTTGATAAGAAAAGGAACCTACCGAGGCATTCTGAAGTTGAATGTTCTCCACTTCCTGTCGTAAAGCTAATACTTCTCTGTCAAGCGACATCGTTGTCCTTTTGAAATAGTTATTTGAGGCGCGTCGTCGGAAAGTTGGATGGAGGGTGTTTGCAAGCGTGCAAAGGTGATGGTAAGTACTTTTCCTTTCGAGCGTCACTAATGAAACGAACTCTACTGAATGTGTGTTGCTGATTTACGAGATGAATGTCGAGTTGGCTTCGTGCAACGTTAATTCCAAGGAAAAACGAAACTATTCTATTAAAGAGAGAGAACAGCTGCTAAGCGGTGGCGGTAATAATAGTAGTGATATCTCGGGTGAAGTCTAAAAAATAAATTTCTTTAATTTCTTTGGTATATATTTTAATTGCATAACAGCCGAGAAGGCGACAGACAGGGGTTTATCGTGAAAGTGGCAAAAATAAAAAAATTTTAAGAGGTGGAAGGAAAAGGGTGAGTAATTAATATAGGAGGAAGTCGTCTCAAATCATAAACGGTTCAAACCAAAAGGGCTAATAATAAGCCAAGGACGAGAAGTCTCTTGCAGTCGATGTGCAGAAGAACCGCGGAAAAGTTTTTATTCGTTACCACTTTATACAGATCGTTACTGATAGATAATTGGTGTGTGTATATCACAAGAAGGGTTAAAATAGAAAACCCTATTTTCGTTACAAAGAAGAGAAACCGATAAGTGAGAAAACAACGAACGATGCTAGCCAAGAAACAGTCAGACTTGGACACAGAGAGAATTAACGGGGAAACAAATAAAAAAAATTTAGATTCGAGGGTCCTAAGTCTGAACTTATTTATGTTTACTTTTCCTATATTCTTTAATGACAATAGTAATGGTGATGCTGATTAGAAAAAAAAAAAAAATATAAAATAAGATAAATAGATTAAAAAAAGTTAGTCTTTTAATAAACCCAATAAATCGATGTGGCACGCATTCCTCTCTTCTCTGTGCATGGAGAATACCTGCGGTGACAGGGCACCATGAATGTGTTCGTCCAATAAACGGTGTATGGGTGCGGAATAGTTTCTTGATAAGTCGAATGCAATTTGTGGAACAGCCCAAAGAGGAATCACTGGAAAATATTTTTAATCATGCACCAAAAAAAAATTTTTTTTATGGATGCGTAGAAATTAAACGAACGACCACCTACGTATAAACAAGAAGGCCTCCTCCGCATGCAAACAACAACATGAGTCGCGCGAATGTAACATGCCACGTACATGCACTCCCCCGTTTCGCGGGTCCGTTAATCTTGATGATTGGTTCAGAGAAGTTTGGGTCATTAAACACGAAACCCGACAATTGGTTATCCTCATTATTGAAAGACGTTCTGTTTTGGAATTAATATAAATAGACAATAAAATACTATAGCATGTACAGTATATAGAAAGATGAGATTGAGAGTAGTACACGCGCTGTAGGCACCTACACATGTACGCACGCAGATGGTATTTTAGATCTAGGTATCTTCCCAACTAGGCATGGTCAAACGATTACATAGGTGGGTGTCGTAACGAGTTGGCTTTTTTTTCTTGTCGATAAAATCTCCTTAAGGTCTAGTCAATTTGCGGTCCACATTTCACTTATTAGCATTACTTCCTTTTGAACATTAGATCGAGTGGTCTCTCATTAACCCATTAACCCTGACAATGCGCGATTATGGATATGACCATATAACATAACATGCACAATGATAAAATCGTCCGAACAATGAAGCCGAATTTACGTCAAAATTTTCGTAAACATCGGACCGAACGAAAATTTTCGGCAACGATCATGCTTTATTATTATTCAATGCAAGGGATGAAAAAAACAGGAGACTTCTGTTTAACCTCTAAATGTCTAGGCGAATATTTCGGTCGATTTCGAACTGCTTCCGGGAAGCGATGTGAACCTCCAAATTCCTGATCCTGAGATGAAGTACGCAATACGTATTCGCCCTCGGTGGCGTGTAATTAAATTCGAAAAATCAAAACACCTGAATTAATTCAAATCTGCATTGTTTCGAGTAAACAAACCTGAAAATTTCATTTCGCCTTCAAATATTATTACCCAATACGAATTAACAAAACAATGCGTTTTGATTGTGAAAACCTTCTTGTTTGCCCCCATTGTTGATCTTTATTGTGCGGTTGGAATTGGAAACAATACAATGAAACGAGTGTACTTATGTAATAGAAAACATTTCGGTTACAATCATTGTTTCTACCACTCGCAGCATGATTTTGGATTCAAGAATTAGGCATGAAACGACCATCTTTGAGGGAATGCATGTACAGTATACGTCATGTGATGAAATCGGTTTCCCCAATACTGACGCCCAAATTAGTTAACGTCGAAGAAATGCACCGGGAAATTAAAAAAATAATTCCCGTTTCTCCAAATTTTACTGACGATTGACGTCTGGTGCGATCACATGGGGCGCACACCGTATTCTCATTTACGTGCGTGCGTAATGTTCTCGAAATAAGTATGCACCATGCGCTGTACGTACGCACTTACCCTATTTTTATCTTCCTTTGCCACTTCACATTCAAACATCAGCTTTGCATGAGTCCGAAAATGCAAACCAATCCTCGGAGTTTCGAATTATGTGTAGCGCATTCATTTATCGCGCTTGGAAAAGAAATAAATAGTGCATGTCGGCCTGTATGATGTCGGTCGAATTGTTATACGCAGCGAAAACAATTCCCTTAAATGTATGCCGCATTATTTCCCAAGCATTCCGTTTCAAATGATGCAGTTGGTTTTAAAGATGGCATTGTGACCATTGGACCAATTACCATGGCGAAATTCTAAGAATAACTTGCGTCCCACTCATTCGAGATCGGAAAGGATCCTTCTTACAGTTAACTTCGGCCCAAGGGACTCATTGAACTCACTTTTCATGCGCGAGGCCATGCCATATGTACTGTATTTGGTGCCCTTTTTTCATTATCAAGCTGCGGTGTAACTTTTAATTGAATCACGTAAAATTATTTATTAAATTATTTCATGTTATTGTATGCACGGCGAGTTGTCCAAAACATATATAATTAATCAATTCATTTGTCTACGACGTTAAATGTTCAAACAATTAAATATTTTTGTCTTTAAAAGGTACCGCGCATTCCCACTTTCGACAATGAATACTATTAATATACAGTATCCTGTCGTGTCGTATCGTACCATACTATACTATTTTTATTTTTATTCTGTATATGAAATATGATATACTGTAATTTTTTTGATTTTATTGATTTTGCTAAGTTGTCATGTTGATCTTTAATTCTGCTTAAAGATTAAATTATATTTTAATATTAATTTAATTGGTTTTAATGTCATTAAATCTACAATCTTATACTATTATGTTAATTTTTATTAAAGTAATAAAACAAACAATATTAATACTAGTCAAAAAAATTTATTTGGCATACTGTCACTTGTGTAACATTTAGCAAAAAATAAACAATTTGGCAAAAAAATGACATAAATAAATTGGCAACTACAAAAATTGGCATATTAACAATTCATCAAAAAAATTTATTAACAATTTGTCAAATAATTTATTAACAATTCAACAATAATTCATTAAAAGTTTGTCACAAAATTATTTATTAACAATTCAATAAAAATTCAATATTAATAATTCATCAAAACTATTTATTAAAAATTCATTAACTATTCATTAAAAAATTGACAATTATTCATTAAAGGTTCATTAACCATCCATTAAAAATTCAGTAACTATTCATTAGCAATAAAGTAAAAAAATCAATAAACTTATGTACAAATTTTTTTAAATTGATATTATATTTATAAATTATAAATAATATAAACTATGCTTTATTAAACAATTGTAAACTGTACATATAATATAAATCACTAAAGCTAAAAACTCTAACTAGCTCACTTATATTTGTAATTATTACTCTAAGTGTAACTTTGAAAATAATTTGTCACTTCATTAAGAATTTAGGTAAAAACTTTTTCAATACCTAATATTATCACCTAAAGATCACTACTGTAAATCATTTTTTTAAATTCTGACAGAACTCAAAACTCAATTATTTTTTTCTGAATATAATCCCTCTTGATAAGATGTCTTTTAAGTCTTAATCTTCTAGTCTTTCTTTCTTTAATAATGAAACTTTTCCTTTTAATGATATAGTTTTATGATCTTGAGAATTATGAAATCTTTTTATCATATTATTTCTCCATATTTCATATATTTTTTCCTATTCTATTATCTTTTCATATTTTACATTTTAAATTTTCTTGTAAAATCAATCACATACTATATCTGTATCTTTTTTATTCACTTCCTTGTTTCATTTTCAATTCTTTTATCTTAATATTTTAGATCTACCAATTAAAAAATCAGTTTGCTTCTTATTAATCCTATATAAAAACTTACTTAATGTGTCCTAATTTGTTGTTGAAGTTTCTTTTATTAGTTTAAATGTTCACTTATTAACTTCTTCCATTTCTTCTTTATTATCTACTGTCATTTTCATATTATTCTTTGCAGTTTTTTTCCCTTTCTTGCAAAGGTTCTCTAAAATTCTTAAGAACTTCTTCAAGACCTTTGTTCTATACTTTTCTTATTTAGTTTCTTATAAGCTGAATATTTTAGCAAGTGATTGATTGTTTCTTCTTTGCAGAAATCATATATGACACATTTTACTTGTTTATATAAATCCAACCTTCTAATTGCTAGCTTATTTAATATTGATAGCTCATCATTTATCAATTTAATAAGAAAACTTTTTCTTTATAAATCTTTGAAAGATGTATCTTATATATATCCATTTATTCTTTTCCATACTAAGTTCTATATATAGTCTTATTGTTTTTTTATTTGATAGCTTTATTTCTTTTTAATTCTATTTTGTGTTATTCATTGATATACTATAATTATATTGTTTATTTTTTTAATAAACTATCTTATAAGATTATCTAGTGTTTTGTCTTGTCACTTGATTTTAATAGAGATCTTGTATGAGATAAAATTTTTTTTATTCTATAACAAGGAGTTTAAAAGCATTTTTGACTAAAGC